ATAAAATCTTAAAAAAAAATTAAAAAAGAAAAACCAGAAATCTGGATTCTTCTGTGAAATCTCTACATTTTATGTTTTTAAATATTGGTAACCAATCCAACTTTTTCTTTTAACTGCTGAGTACAATGGCATGTCTCAGGCCTGGCCTGGTGGGGGGCTGACACTCCACGGGCTCGGGCTCCAGGGAGAAGTTGAAGAGCGTGGCCAGGGGTTTGGAGGTGGGAGCCCCTTGTGATCAGTGTTCCTCTCTCCTCAGGTGCATGGCCCTGAGCGAGTCCCTTTGCCTCTCCCAGAACTTCGTTTCTCCCCTGTCAAATGGGTCAGTGGCCTTGACCTCACGGGTAGGGACTTCGGGTCAAGTGTTTAGGGCAATGGTCGGCACATAGCAGGTGCCCAGGCAAGATAGTAAATATGCTGCCCACCCCCCCCAATTCTAGCCCAACCCTGGGACTCAGATGTCTGAGGAGGGGGAGTTGCCATAGGACAAGTGGAGATGGAGACCAGAGGGTCTCATAGGAGAAGAATCATGCCACTGCTGATAGTGTGAGACCCCCAAGTCCTCCCTATGGCCACATGGTCCCCACCTAACCCAGCCCCAGCATCTTTCCAACCTTTTCTGTGCTTGTTCCCTCCATTCCAACCCCCGGCCACTTGTTCATTCCTCAAAGTCTCCTGGTTCATAGCCACCCCAGGGCCTTTGCACTTGCTATTTCATTGACCTGGGACTCCTACACCCAGATCTTTCAGAATTGGCACCTTTCCTCATCTCAGACATCACCTCCTTCCAGGGGCAGGACTACTTTGAGGACCACCCCCCAATCCCCAGCCTTCTCCTGAAGGTGAGCACCCAGAAGGGAGGTCCGTCTCCTGCCCACCCACTGAAACCAGAGATGGCCATAACCACCCATCTTTGGACACTGGAAATAGCCACAAATGTCTCCTCCAACCACCCTCCAGCCACACCCCCCACCCCCGCCAGCAGCCTGGCTCTGGCCTCCACCCTTGAGAGCCTCATCATGAACCCGAGGGGCTTTTACCCCTGCTTAGAGGTGAACAGAAGGAGGCTGAGTGGGGACGAGGTCAGCCAGGGTCACACAGCTGGTCAGAGGCAGAGGTGAGTCTTGAGGACCCATGAGTCCTTGGTTCCCGGGCCTCAGAATCTGGGTGGCATTTGCTTGGCTGAGGCCCAAGGAACATGTCTCTGGGCAGCTGCCCTGTCTCAGCTCATGTTCTCCAAACCTCGGCCTGCTCTATGCAGCGGGACATTCTCCAAGCTGGTGCTCGGCACCGTGCAAGGGCCATGGTGGGCGTGAGCCCAGAGCCCAGGCCCTTCACCACCACCCACCGGCTGTCGAAGCTGCAGCCTTCCTTTGCCTTCTGTTCAAAGCTGCTCCTTTGAACAACTCCAGGCTCAGAGGTCAAGACTGCCCACCTGGCAGGCACACTCCATCAAGACTTAGAGTCTAACAATCCTCAGCCTGGAGCCTGGACGCTCCAAGTCATTCCAGGGAACATTCAGGAACAGCCCCTAGACTGTTCCAAACACAGTGGGGGGCTGCTGGAAGCTGCTGGAGCTGGGCTGCTCCGTCAAGCCAGATACTCGGTGCAGGGGCTGGGAGAGGCCTTAACAGGGCAGCTCACTTTGTGGAGGACACCCCAGGTCTTGGACCAACCACTGAGCCTACGGCACAGCCCTAAGGGCCCTAGCAGCCCTCCTCCGGGCCTTGACTTCACCAGGGCCAGAACACCACACACAACATTTGTGCCTCTCAGTTGGGCACTGAGGACCCAGATCAGCACTGGGATTAAAACTGTTCTCAGTCCCAAAGTCATTACCATGACCACCACCATGACAAGAAGAAGCACTAACACTGAGTGCTCCCCAGGCCAGGGGCTACCCAGTTAATGCAACAACTCCACAAGGCGAAACTGTGAGTAGCCCCATTGTACAGAGGAGGCCACTGAGGCTCAGAGAGGGGCTATCACTTGCCTATGGCCCCAGAACTGGGAAAAAAGTTAAGTCATTAAACTCAGGTCCACTTGACTCCTGACACCTGGTTTTCCAAGATGGTTTGTTTTAAGCAGAAGTTGTTTTTTTAATTTATTTTTTACTTGTATTTTTTAAAGTATTTATTTAGTGTTCTCTACCCCCAACATGGGGCTCAAACTCATGACCCCGAGGATCAAGCATCGCACACTCCTCCAGATGAGCCAGCCAGGCACCCCAGAAGCTGTTTTGAAAGTGAAGTTTTATAGGGACCCCGTGCTGTCACACAGATAAGACCACGTGTTTGGGATGTTATTTGCCTTTCACGGTGTCATAACCTCAAGACTTTAAAAATGATGAGAAAACAGTTTTTATCTGCACTTGCATTTTCCAACAGCTTCCCGTTGTGTTTGGAATAAAACGCTAACTCTTCACGGGACCCTCTAACCACACATACGCCCCATGCCCCATATTCCCTCTCTGTGCTCCCACCACCCAGGCCTCTTCTGTTATATTCTTCAAAACGCACAGAATGCCTACCCACCTCAGGGCCTTTGTCTGTGCTGCTCCCTCTGCCTGAAACACTGAGAGGTTTTTTTCGTTTTAAAGATTTAATTTTTAAGTCTTCTCTGCACCCAAATTGGGGCTCGACCTCACAACTCCGAGATCAAGAGTCACATGCTCTACAGAGCCAGCCAGGTGCCCTGACACTGAGAAATTCTTCACTCAGGATTAAGACTGGTCCAAAAGTCACCAGCTCAATACTCACTAGGACACTTTGGTAATTAGGACAGGGTAGTGTTGGCTTAAGGACAGACACATGGGCCAGTGGAACAGAAGGGAGAGTCTTCCAGAAGCACAGCAATGGACACTGGATTTAGGATAAAAGCAGCATTGCAATCCAAAAGAGAAAAGATGGTCACATCAGCAAATCGTGCCAGAACAACTGGAAGAATCATGACCCCTACCTCACGCTGTACATCAAAACTAATTCCAGATGGATTTTGGTCCAAAATGTGAAGACCCAAACAATAAAGTTTCCAGAAGAAAAGACAGGAGATCTTCATCACCCCGGGGGGATAAAATTTTCTTAAACAGGACACAAAAAGCAATAACTGTAAGGAAAGCAGCTGATAAGCCGCACTTAACTTGTGTTCATGGAAAGATTCCATTAAAGAAGAAAAAAGGCAACCCACAGAGTTGGAGATGATATTTACAAAACAAGGAAGTATGTCCAGCATATATGAAAACTCCTAAGAGAAGAGACAACTCAATAAAAATAAGCAAACATAAAAGAGTTAATTCCAGTGGCCAATAAACATATGAAAAGGTGCTTAACCTCAGGAGTCATCAGGGAAATGCAAATTAAAGCTGCAGTGAGCACCCGGTATACACAGCCACCCGGAGGGGTGGGAGGGGTGGGACGGAAAAAGACTCTCATACACTGCAGGTGGGGACAGAAGATCTTGCAGCCACTTTGGAAAAAATACAGACGTTTCTGATAAACATGCACTTGCCACATGACCTAGCAAGGCCTCTAGGAATCTTCCTGAGAGAAATGGACGCGCACGTCTGCACAGGGAACTATTTGCGAATTTCGTAGCTTTTATGAATTTTATTCCTAAAAGTCCCAAAGTAGAAATGATCCAAATACCACCGACAGGTGGGTGTAAGCTCCCTGCGGTACCGAGATAGGAACAGGCTCCTGACGCACAGGAGAGCACAAACAAGCCTCTACAACATTCTGCTGAGCCAAAGGAGCAGACGCAAAAGGCAACATGCTGCGTGATTCCATTTGTATCAAGTTCAAGAACAGAGAAATGTAATCCGTGGAACAGGAGTCTGTGGGAGGAGGGGGTGGCCTGGGTTACTGACAGGCAGCAGGAGGGAGCCCTCTGGGTGTTGGGTGACTTGGGTGTGTGTGAACATGGCAACCCTCGTGGGGCTTCCCGTTCGCTCACCCTCTGCCCTGAACGCCCGGGACACAGCGCCAAAGGTTACGTCACACAAGGGGATTCTTTGGCAACAACCGATCCCAACCACCAAATCGGGACCTCTCAGAGATACTCCCAGAGGCCCCACTGCTCTTCCTTTATAACATTGTGCAGAATTTATAACTCCCTATTCGGTTGTAGGTTTCTTGCCCAGTGGCTCCCACTAAGATGCCAGGACCCCAGCATCAGCATCTGTGTACACGGTCCGTGCTCAATAAACATCTGTTAAATGAATGAATAACTAAGTCTCCACCATTCAGACCGGGACCCTCCGGGGGCTAGGATCACATGTGCCTTGCTCACTTTCCAGCAGTGTGACAGAAAGAGAAAGGAATCAAATGAAAGCCACGTGGTTGCATCAATTTGATACACCTGAGTCCAAGATAGAGCTTGTCAGGTGTTTGGAACCCCTTAAGCCTCCAGCCTCACCTGCAGAGTTGAATTAAGTTGTGGAAAAACACAGAGAATTTTTAACACTTGAAATAAGACATCCACCAATCATGAGACATGCAAAGGAATCAAAACGACAGTTTTCAACCCCCCTGGAGAACCCCCTCCTCTTGGTCATGGTCCACCTGGGTCAGGGGTGTCAAGGACCAGAGGGCCCTGTCACAGTCCCCGTGATGCCCATCTACGGTGTCTCTGCACTTTCTACAAAATCCTTGACCACTACTCCTCAAAACCCTCAAAACCGTCATCAGAAACAAGGAAAGCCTGAGAACTTGTCAAAGCCGTGAGGCCCCTAGAGAGACACCACGACAACCGAATCGAATATGGAATATGCTGGAATAGAAAAACTGCTGCGAGGCGCGCGCTGCCTCGGTTAGGCACGAGCCGCAGTAACGCGAGCCGCTAAGGTCAGGCACGGCTGCGTGGGGTGTCCGAGGGAACCCCGGGGCCATCTCTGCACCCTCTCCGCAAATCCAAAACCGCCTGAAAGAAACGCCTCACTTTTCCCAAGGCATGCTTTCCCTCCGGGCGCGTGCAGCCGCCCGTGGGGCTGTCGCCGGGGAGCTTACCTTGGGCGGGTCGAAGAGCTCCAGCACGCGGTCCGCGCCGCCGTCGGGGCCCCGGGCGCGCCGCAGCGCCAGCCGCCCCCGCTGCCAGCGCGCCCCGCTGTCCATGGACGCCTCGTCTGCCAGGCTGTAGCGCAGCGCCGCCTCCTTGAGGGCCTCGGGCGGCGGCTCGCGGGCCAGGCTCCAGGGCAGGAGCTTCCTGGCCAGGCCGGAGCGGGCCGGGCCCTCCCCCGCCTCCCCCGCGGCCCCGGTGGCGGCCGGCAGCTCCCCGGCAGAGCCGCGGCGCAGGATGTGGCGCAGGCTGTGGCGCAGGTGCTGGAAGGTGCAGGCGGCGGACGGTCGCGGCGGGGCCAGCTCCTCCGAGCTACGGGCCTTGGGCAGCGCGGGGACGGCGGGACCCGGGCCCGACTCGGCCGGGGCCGCCTCGGCCTTGGACGGGGGCCCGCGGCCCGTGTCCCGGTAGTCACGCGCAGGCGGCGCGGCCCGGGACCCCGGTGGCCCGGGCACCCAGCCCTCGCGCACCTCGCGGCAGAAGTAGCGCTGGAAGAGGTCGGTGAACTGCAGCGACACGAGCTCGGCGCGCAGCGGCGCGTGGTGTGGGTGCTCGCGCGCGAAGAGCCAGTACTGCCGGGCCACCTCCCGGGCCGCAGCCACCGCGTGCAGCTCGCAGAACTCGCTCCAGCCCCGAGGGGACGGTGACGACGTCGCGGCGGCCGACGAGGAGGGCGAGGACGCGGAGGAGGCCGAGGAGGGCTGCAGGGTGGGCCCGTTCATGGCGGAGACCGAGGTGGGGCGGCCAGGCTGAAAGACAAAGAGGGGTGGGCGACAAAGGAGTGAGCAGCTGAGCAAACGACTACTTAAACCCACCACCGCGAGACAGGTTATTCACCAGGCCCAACGTCAGAAATCGGAAGTCACCGATAATACCCGGTGCTGGTGAAGGTGCATCGAAATGGTCACTTCCCTCCAGTGCTGCCAGTGCTCGGAGTGATACAGCCTTTTTGGAGGGTAGTTTGGCAGGGTGCATTTCAGACCCAGGAATTCCACTCTCAAGTATTCGAGGGAATGCTTGCTTGCCTGTGCAGAGAGGTAGGTATAAGACAATCCCCGGATGTGTCCGACTTCGGTGTTTATACAACTTAAATGCCCATCAGAGACTGGTAAAGCCAACAGCGCTGCATCTGCAGGCTGGAGCATTCTGCAGCAGTGGACGAGGTAGGGGAAGGTCCACGCTGCCACCCCAGGGAGATCCCCAAGGCAAACCATGAAACAACGCAGACTCTGTGATCCCATATACGTGAACACACACAAAGCCGAATTACCAACTTTGATGTCCATGTGTTTAAGTGGTGGGCAAGAAAGGTGTGGCTGGAGCGAAGCTGCTGAAAACAGTGGTGACTTCTGGGGGAAGAACCGGATTTGGGATTCAAGTACCAAGGAACACTGCAGCTACATGTCTCTATGGTTGAGAACACTGAGCCTGGGTTCAAACTCCAGCACCGCCACTTACTCGTTACCTGACTTTGGGTGAGTTACTGACTTCTCTCTCAGTTTCCCCATCTGTAAAATGGGGAACACGCTTGTACCTGCCTTATAGGAGTGTTACAAGGATTCACTGAGTTAATAAATGTAAAGGCATAAGAACTTAGGAAAAGCCTACTAAAGTCTGGCTGTTACTATTTAAATATTACAATGAGGGGCGCCTGGGTGGCTCAGTGGGTTAAAGCCTCTGCCTTCGGCTCAGGTCATGATCCCAGGGTCCTGGGATTGAGCCCTGCATCGGGCGCTCTGCTCAGCGGGGAGCCTGTTTCCTCCTCTCTCTGCCTGCTTCTCTGCCTACTTGTGATCTCTGTCAAATAAATAAAAAATCTTAAAAAAAAATAAAAACAAATATTACAATGAGAGTGTATCATTGGTGTCAATAAAAATAAATATAAAACGACAAATAAAAAGGAATTAACAAGACTCACAAAGGAGTGCAAAGGTTATTTCCTGCTCCGATGAGGGGGGGATGTCAGGACAGGCAGACCCTTGCCTACACATCCCACCTGGGGCTCCCTTCTCCTCCTACTCCCATGGCTCCTTCTTCAGCACCACACAATCAAAATGGTAGAAGCCCCCCACCTTCTGCTGTCCAAGGTGCTGAACCCTGGACCTCTCTAGTTACAATCAATGCTGTCCTTCCAACTAAGCCTGGCTGGGCCTGGGCCCCTTTGGGGACGACATAATGACGGCTGCTCATTCTACCACCATGCCCCCTCCCCAATAAAAAACTATTACTGAGGGTCTACTCTGTGCCAGGCACCATGCTGGCACCAAGCTATACTATACACATATGTGGAGGCTGTGTGACCTCTGACACCTGACTGGACCTCTCTGAACCCCACTTCCCTCATCTGTCAAATGCGGAGCACCATGGTACCCACTTCATTAAATGGTTATAAGGAGTCCTTGAGAGGCACTCAAGGTGGAGACCAGGACCTGGAGACCAAGGTTCCTTCTACCACACCCCACAGCACATATACCTTCTATCTATGCAGGGGCGGGGTGGGGCAGGCCTGCAGGGAAGCTACAGGACAGTGAGGGCTGTGCTGTCCTGCCCTCCCTGGGCCACACTGGGGACCCTGCAGTGACTGCAGCAGGATGCCCCAGGCAGTGTAGAGCAAGTGTCTGCATCAGTGAGGAAGGCGGAGACCTCCTCGCAGTAAGCACCTTGCACAGAGTAGTCAACGAAGGCTGCCAGGCAGCAGGGGAGGGAGGAACATGTGCCCTTGGCCCCCACACTGCCCAGAAAACCGCCTTGCTGCTGAGGATCTGTGTGTGTGTGATTTGTCCTTAGTTAACCCCATGGCTACACCCATGCAGCCACACAGGTGAGGCAAGCACTGTTCTCGCAGGCTATGGGGCCCAGAAAGCTCTCAGACCCCAGACCCAAGCTCCTGCTCCTCTAGGAGACCCTGTGTGTGCAGCATCACATGGCGGCTGCAGCCTCTGGGCCTTGCCTTCAGTGTCCCCTCAGCCCTGCCTGCTCTCAGCCGGCTTCCGACTTCACACGCGAGAACCTTCCATGAGCCCACAGAGTCAAGTCCTGAACTTGACCTTCAGCACACCCATCACATGTTAGCATTCAACAGCCACGCGCAGCTCAGTCAGTGAAGCATCCCACTCTTGATTTCAGCTCAGGTCATAACCTGGGGGTTGCGAGCTCCAGCCCCCGCAATCGAGTCTGCTTGAGATTCTCTCCCTCTGCCCTCCCACCAAGTGCGTTCACTCCCTCCTCTAAAATAAATAAATCTCTTTTTTAAAAGATTTTATTCATTTATTTGACAGAGAGAGAGAGATCACAAGTAGGCAGAGAGGCAGGCAAAGAGAGAGAGGGAAGCAGGCTCCCCGCTGAGCAGAGAGCCCGATGCCGGACTCGATCCCAGGACCCTGAGATCATAACCTGGGCCGAAGGCAGAGGCTTAACCCACTGAGCCACCCAGGTGCCCCTAAATCTTTTTTTTTTTAAATAGCTGTTATTTTTTAAATTAGTGGCTATCTCCACACCAGACTATGAGCTTCCCAATCTGGTCCCTACTCTAGCCCCAGTTCCTAGCATGCAGCGGGAGCTCAGTAAATGCCCACTGAATGAATGAACGTATGAATGCAAGCGGTCAGCTGCATTTGCAACTCGTGGCCCCGCAAGAGATGCATTGGGGCCAGTCCCCCCCAACAACCACCTCTCCCCGGGCCAACCCACCTCCCAGGCGCCCCCGAGTCCCGATGCCCAATGGCAGGGCCCAACCTCGGCAGGAGGCTTCCTGGAACAGTGTGCCAGCTCCGGGCTTCCCCACTGCCCGGGGGATGGCTGGCAGCCCTCCTAACCACACCTCCTACGGTTCCCCCAACAGAAGAGCGGTGTGGCCCAAGTACTTGCTAGACATCAGGCATCGGTTCTGCTTTTGCAAACCATTAACTCTCCTAGGCTTCATGGAAGCCCTAGGAAGTTGGGCCTATAATTGCTCCCATTTTACAGACAGAGAAACTGAAGCGTGGGAGGTCCCATTGCTGGCAATAGAAACCCCCACAGAAGCCGTCCCAAAATGCCTCATCAGGGCCAGAATGTACACCGTTGGGAAGACTCACTTTCCCAGGAAATGTATACTGAACGAAGGAAACCCAGGGGAGGGACATAAACTTCTCATTCAGCCTCTGCGGGAGTCAGGAGGCATCAGCTCCCCTGCCCAGGTCCCAAAGCCACCAGGGGGTCAGGAAAGCAACCACAGGGTACAAGTTTAAAAACAATGATTCGACATTTGTATACATTATAAAATGAGCACAGGAAATCTAGTTATTATGTTGTATTCCTGAAACTAATGTATGTTTATCATATCTCAATTTTATTTATTAAGATATATTTGACAGGGAAAAAGAGAATACAAGCAGGGCGAGCAGCAGGCAGAGAAAGAGGGAGAAGCAGGCTCCCCGCTGAGCAGGGAGCCTGATGCAGGGCTCGAACCCAGGACCCTGGGATCATGACCTGAGCTGAAGGCAGACACTTAACCGACTGAGCCACCCAGGCACCCCAATTGTATCTCAATTTTAGAAATACAATTTTAAAAACAAAAATAACAATAAATGACACTATTTCTGGCTTTTTAGATGCCCTGCTGTGTGCTAAATGCTTTGCATTTATACTCGCTAGTTTAATCTACACTGGAGGGTAGAGGGGAGACCTATCAATACGTCCATTTTATAGATAAAAAAGCCAAGACATGGGAAGATTAGCTTGCCCAGAGCTCCACATCCAGTGAGGCGCAGAGCTGGGATTAGAACCACTCTCTGTCCTGTGCGCTCAACCAGGGCTGTTTGCCCCTGGAAGGTGCAGAGGCCATCTCGCTCCAGTCACCCCCACCGCCAGGTCAGAGTAGATGCTCCCGAAATAGCACCTGTATGAGTTAATGAACTCCTGGGATTGGGGCAGGCTGCGGTTTGGTAGTCCTGCTCTTGGAGTCGTACTCCTGACCGACAGGGACAAACAGAAGGGCTGCAGGGCTCTGAGAAACACACCGAGATCCCCCCACCGCCCAGACAAGCACTTGTGGAGCTACCCGCCAAACCTGGGGCCGCCTCCTGCCTCTGCCCCTTCTTCGCTGTGCGGTACAGAAAAGGGGGCTCATCTCTCTGAGCCTGTGCCCCCATCTGTAAAATGGGCCAGTGTTCAGCTCTCGGCATTCACTAGGAACATTCTGAGAACGGAGGTCTGCGAGGTGCTGGGCACTGGGCTCAGCAAACAAGTGGCTGTTGCTATTTTATTACTCTTACTGTCAGCAGAGAAGAGCACCAGCTCCAGAGAATTTCAGGCCTTTGATCACTGAAGCCAGAGAGGGAGCCTGCCTTGTGGGCTGGGCCAGAAGGGAGCGAGCATCAAGGGAGCCTGAACAAAAGGCCTTCTCAGGGGAGAGGTGGCTCCAGGCAGGAGCTCCGGGCAGGAAGTCACCAGTCAGAGCACTGAGCTCTCCGCTGGGGCCCACGTCTGGGAGGGGGCGTGCCTCAGAGGTTTCCTGGCTGGGCTGGCAGCCAGGCAGCAGGAAGGTGGTCCTCTCCTTGGGCCTGAGCCCCGGCTGCAGCCATTTATTGAACACTTACTATATGCTAAGTAATTGATCAGATCACACCAGCTGTGGGAGTAAAGCCTGAAAAGCTCTTAGCAGAAAGCATTTATTAATCACCTGAGGGTTCCCAGGAACCTCCAGGCTTAGGGTGGGGGTATAAGTAGAAGAGGGTCTCGGGGGCACTTCCACTGGCTCCCTCCTCCC